AGTTACCGAAGAATTTTAGAAGGAAATTATGAAAGGCGAATTTTTTTTTTTTGTTAGATAGGTACTTACAGCAAAAAAAAATTATGTAATAATTTGGTCTAAAATTAGTTAAAATTTACTTCACTGTCCATCAATTTATTTATATACATACCTATACTTGTATTTTGTAATTAAAATATTATATGTTATAATAACACAAAATATTGAAATTAAAACTGTGTATACTAAGAAGATTTTTAAGTAAATAGAATAGATCATATTTCTGTTAGGAATAGTATTTCAGGTTTATTTGTTGTTCACACTATCTACCTATTTCTTCCGAACCAAGCGTTGCGATTCCCGACGAATGACCTTGCTATTGTCATGCGTTAGGCATCGCAATACTCACATAGGGGCGAAAGTATGGTCAGTCGATCATAGTTAAAATAGGTACTTCACCTAAGTAACATAATTAACACTTCGCAATGTATTTTTTTTTTTACTTTCTATTGACATCCCTTAATAACCACGGAAAGTCCGCCGTGACTTAGGAAGCGGAAAAGGTGCAAAGTAATATGGGCACTAACGCGCAGCGATAGTTTTATTTAGTTTGCGTGCGCGATTTATTTGATTAATAATAATTATGTATGCTATTAAATGTCGGCAAGCAGTTGACATCAAAGGAGTGCAACTTCTGTACATAGTACTATTATTTATTCTGTGACGTCAGTGAGTAGTGTATTTGTGTATTAAAATAGCTGTAATATAAGTACTTAGAATATCGCTAGTCCGTGACCGGACACACTGTATATTAGAAAACATAGTAAATTGTCTTATAAAATAAATTCGTCTACATTTATTTCGGAAGACGCCATTACAAAGCGCGCGGTTAGCACGAAGTAGTTTGAGATTCCTAGTAGCTTCTCGCGCCGTTTGCCTTTTGCTGCCCGCGCAATCACTGCGCCCTCTTATATGAGCAAGCTATGGCGTGAGTTGCCCGCTCGCTTCCCGCGTCAACAAGCCCGCGCCCATCGCCGCACTCACCCCGCTTCCGCGTGCCTACTGTGGACACTCAAATCAACACTTCATGTTTGTGCACGTCGCACCGTACCGGCCCTTCACCCGTATGGCCACTGTGGACACTCAAATGAACACTTTATGTTTGAGCACGTCGCGCCGCACCCGCCCCGCACCCGTGTGCCTACTGTGGACACTGAAATGAACACTTTATGTTGCACCCTCCTTTCTGCCAAGGAGGGTCGCGTCCGTTTACTGCTTAAAGATCTCTCGTCAGATCGTTAAGCCAATCCCAAAAGGTGGAGTTTAGTAGGTATGTCTCCACATAACCACGCAGCCGGCTGCGTGGTATGCTATGAGCATTCTCCACTTCCCTCCATCCCCGTTACCGGAGGGTTGCCCTTATTTGCTTCGGACACAAAAAAAAATTAACACTTTATGTTTGAGTACGTCGCGCCGCACCCGCCCCGCGGTCGTGTGCCCACTGTGGACACTCAAATGAACACTTTACGTTTGAGTAGGTCGCGCCGCACCCAACCCGCGCCCGCGTTTTCAGTCTGGCTAATCACTAAACGATCATCTTTGGGTGAAGTAGATTCTGCGGTGGCTGATATATATAATATAAGCGAAATACCACTGACTGACTGACTCACCACGATATGTCTAAAACTATACACCCGCCCGATTGACTTAAAATTTCGTATAGTTACGCATTTCGCAATGTAGACATTCACTAAAAAAAGAGAGAAGATAGAGAAGTTGTTACGATAGTCAAAATTCTCTATATTTTACATATAGGTTCAGCAATAAAATATTATTGTGCGCCCAGCGAAGCGAACGGATGTGAGCTAGTAATTAATAGAATAGAAACAGAAACAGAAACAGAAACTTTTTTATTCAATGTAGATTATAACAATACTTATTGAAAGTTACTTTTTTAATTTACCACTGGTTCGCAAAAAAAACCTCTGTCCTGGGAAGGACCAGCAAGAAACCAAGCGGGACTATTTTTTTCCAATAATAGCTTACAATCATGTTTACAATTAACAACACAAGACAAATTAGAAATAGCTTGGTAGCGATCACCCTTCCCAGGGGTTATTATCATCCATAAATTCCTTAATATTATAATAACCCTTTTTATACAAACTTAGTTTAATAACATTTTTGAACTTTGTGTATGACAAATTTTGTATATTTTCTGGATTGTGTGGTAAAAGCGTATACATCGCCCCAAGAATGAACTACTGACTCGATGGAGTCGAGTAACTGGTACTAATAGCTTGTGTCTGTTCCTAGTATTTACAGAATGAATATCACTTATTTTCGCAAAACTACTTTTATTTTTGTGTTCGTACATTACATTTTCATAAATGTATTGAGAGGCCAGAGTTAATGTATTAATTTCCTTAAATTTTTGTCTCAGTGACTCCTTTGGTTTTAAATTATATATTGCTCTAATGGCCCTAATAAATATAATTTCAGTGTCAGTCGCGTGTCGCCATAGCAAAATACCATACGACATAATGCTATGGAAATAACTAAAGTAAACTATTCTAGCTGTTTCAACACTGGTAAGAGTTCTAATTTCTTTTACAGCATATGCTGCAGAACTAAGTCTGCTAGCTAGTTTTGATATATGGGGGAGCCATTGAAGCTTTGTGTCCAGTGTGATTCCAAGAAAAATGGTGGTATCAACAAGACTCAGTTCCTCCCCATTTAAAATTACATTAGTATTGACATGTTTAACATTAGGAGTGACGAATTTCATACATTTAGTTTTAGTTCCATTCAAATGCAAATTATTAACATTAAACCAATTGACTAACTTAGCTATAGCATTATTTACTTCGTCGTAATTTAATAACAGTCGTTTTAATTTGAAAATTAATGAAGTATCATCAGCAAATAATACTATATCATGGTTATTCCCTACTATGTAAAGTCATTAATATATATAAGAAACAGAAAGGGGCCGAGAATTGAGATCTGAGGCACGCCCATTTGTACAATCGACCCGGAAGATCTCATACTACTGATGACAACTTTTTGCGTCCTGTCACTTAAATATGAAATAATTAATTTAAGAGCATCGCTTCTTACCCCGTAGTGTTGAAGTTTCCTGATTAATGTTTCATGGTGAACACAATCGAAGGCTTTGGATAGATCACAGAACACACCCAAAGCATCCTGTGAATTTTCCCATGCATTAAATATATATTTAATCAGCTCAACACCAGCATCAGTTGTCGAGCGACCCCTTGTGAAACCAAATTGATTTTTATGAAGTAAATTATTTACATTAAAAAAATTTAACATTTGATCAAGAATATTCTTTTTTTTTCAAAATTTTTACTAAATCTTGGCAGTACAGAAATAGGTCTAAAATTAGCGGGGTCCAATGTACTACCATATTTAAAAAAGGTATTACTTTACTATGCTTCATTAAATCAGGAAACACACCAGATTCGATACTAGTATTAAAAATAATAGATAGTTGAGGTGCGATTATATCTATTATAGACGCAATAACTTTAACGGAAATCGCCCACAGATCGGCGGTTCTCTTAATATCAATAGTCTTAAAATATTTTACAATATCTTTTGCATTTATTAATAATTCTTTGTACACACATTTACATTTTGTTTAAGTAATGATTCGGCGACGGCAGGAGAAGAATTCAGTGACTTAGTGGTTAAGATCGGAATATCAGTAAAATATTTCTCAAATAATCAAATAATAATCAAATCAGACGTTACTTTGCAGATATTCATTGTAACAAAGATGTTAAAAATTAATTAGCTAAAATCCGCGTAATAAAATAAAATGACGGCTCGGGCGGTAAACCACCGCAGAATCCACTTCATCTGAGAATTATCGTTTAGAGATGACATACGTGTCGTGTTACCGACGGTGGTGTGTGTGTTTCTGGGATTAGTGGTGAAGAGGATAAAGCTTAGCAGATAGGACATTATAGCCTACGAAATTCCAAAGCTAAGCGACATGTTTAAAAACAACAACAGCCAAATGGTAGGGTGTGAACCTTCGATCAACAATACCAACTTTTGTTGGTATTGTTGATCGAAGGTATGAACCCCAAACTCAAAAGATTGTGGGTTCTAATCCGCCATTCGAATACTGACGTGAACCATTCCTAACACAAGTGTCTTTAGCTTACCAAGAGTGGTTAAAGGGAATATTAATAATAATATAAATAGCATTGGTAGTAATTTTAGAAAAGTAAAAAAACAGCTAAGCATAGGCTTCGTCACTGATTGCCTCATTGTCATACATATTTGTCATAGTTGTCAGCTGGGCAGGAAAAACTTTTATTTTCTATTTGTTTGCTGATCTACATTTTTTTTTACTTATTATAAGCCAGTGCTTCATAATCCCCTGATGGTAAGTGGTAATGTCGCCTTAGATGGTAAATCGCACTGTCACCTATTCACTCTTGCCGTAAAGACGCCCAGATTGCATTCGGATGGAAAAATAGAAACTGACAAATATTCCACTCCTTTCGTGTACGCATTACAAAAGACGAAGCAAACTATTTGGTTCTTAATGGGTAGAATATCGACAACAAAAGGGTGAAGACCACCAACCGCTTGGTTGTCCGATAGTAGAAAGGAGAGGGAGGAATAAAATCATGTAATTCCTGCGCGCACATACACATGCATCTCTTATAGAATACCGATAGGCTGGCTACTCTGCGCCTGTGTTCAAGGCTGACAAAATTGGTTTCAACCAATTTGTTTGTTTCCCTCTATCGCTTCTTACGACACACACCGGACGAAATATCGCGTAGTGGATATATCTACACTGCCACTGCACGTTGGCAAATAAGTTCTTACTCAAATACCTAATTTTGAAAACACTTCTGCGGACTTCTTTTGAAGTTGGTTACAGATATCACTGAGCTGCAGTAAGCACTTACATTTAGTTTAAGTTCATTTTTTTATTAAAAAGAAACTCCAACGACGACTATAATATTAATATACTATCAGTAAATATACTTACGGTATTGTTTCTTACATTTACTACATTCTAGAACTTTTATTAAACCTTCTTTGTCATGGCTTTCATTGTCACTTTCATTGACATCTAACCGCCAATATTTGCCATTGATATTACTATTTCTTTGTTGTTTTTGAGGATTTCGTTTAAGCTGCTTATCTTCCGTTTTTAAGCAGGCATTTGCTTTTAATTGGTATTCATTTTTGTTGATATATGTATCATAAATATTATCATCTTGGATGTCACATTCATTTTCATCTTGAGACAAATATGTAGCATCTACAGCAAGGTCCTCGTGGTTTTCCTCTTTTTTTACACCCTTAATCAAAGCATCAGTTACTGAATGACTTTTCTAGTTATAAATCAACTTACAGTAATAAGAGAGTTTACACATAGATTCTGATGAGAATTCGATTTGCATCTGAATAAACATAAAGCTAGAAAACTCGAACCCAATTCGGTAGTGCAAATGCTCTGCGTCCGATCCGAATCTGAGAAAATGCTTTCATCGCTACACTTTAAATTCTAGTTTTAGCCATTCTGGTGCTGTTCAGAGACAGCATTTATGTATTCTCTAAATCGCCGTCAACGTTACGCACTTTTATTTTAAATACGGAGACGCAGGAGTAATAAAGGGTTATACATCATTACCATCAATACCACGTGGGTATTGATGGTAATGATGTATAACCCTTGGCTCGATATGATTCAAATGAAGTGCGCAAGCGTTATTACAAATTCATGTGATTATTTCGGACCGTGAATATTATAACCCAAGTAACAATAACCCAATAGTTTTAGCTTTACTCTCTAATTCCTAAAAAGGCATTCGAAAATAGTGCGCAACCCTTAGACAAATAATTTTATACTCGTAGCTACTTGGGATCAACATTTCTCGTATTCTGACCGGATGTATTGCACAAACACTTTCAAAATAATTTAGGACAATAAACTAATTTACATTATCGAGTTCCAAGGAATTTTAACAAAATTACAAAATAATATACTAGTATTACTGTATCACTTCTTTAATACGTAAAAGTCCATCGATCGATACGAGCCTATCCCGTTTTAGGGAGGACTTGCCATAATCGTCCCCACTGACAATCGATTTGATAATTGCGGTACAAGCCATTTCCTTTCTTCTTCCTTTGACGCTGCTGAACATCACCGGTCTGCGTGTTTTACGTAAGACGTAAACGATATAGTTATAATTTTTCGATAAATGGCCATATTATATATATTATCTCGAAATAGGGACGACGAAATAGGGTTATCGATTCTTTTACGCCGCCACCACGGATAATACCTACGGTATTTCTATGTAGAATAAGGATGACAAACGAGCACACAGTCTACCTGATGGTAAGTGGACGATGTGGCTAACATTCACCCTCGATTAAGAATCAAAATTCAGATGGGTTGACACCACTGAGGTAGATATAATGTCTCATTTCGGGTAAAAAGAGACTCCGGTTCTCTACACACACCATATGTAAAACAGCAGCATTCTGTGAGAGCGTGGTCCTTCCACGGTCGAGCCTACCCATTTGTGCTACAACCACTGTGTATAGAGTGTCATTTCAAATTACACAAGCTTTGTTTCTATCTTTTTTTTTATAAAGAGAGAAACAAAAATTGTGTAATTTTAAATAACAAATGTATCGGGGAGTTTACATACATATTTTTTCACAAAAAAAAGAAAGTTTAACTCTAATGTAACTCTAGTAAGGTGATTATGTTCTGAGTTCCCTTATCAACCAATCTAAAACATACTGTATGTTTTATCTCTTATATTATTAATAAGCCGAATGAGAATTATTAAATATTATATAAAAACTTATGAGAGGGTTTTAGGGCAAGGAAGTGACCCTGCACTGCCCCAATGCGTGTTGGCGAACTTCACATGTCTTCGAAACATTTTTTTTCTTATTCCTCAGACATGCAGGTTTCCTCACGATGTTTTCCTTCACCGCCGAGCACGTGGTAAATCAGCACATAAAATTGCAATTAACAATTTCATTGGTGTCAGCGGGGATCGAACCCAGGTTACTCACGTTCTATTATATTTAAAGCGAGTGTTAACCATCTGAGCTACCATGGCTATATCGAAAGAAAAACCCTCTCAGAAATGAGGGGAGGCCTGTGCCCAGCAGGGACGTCTATAGGTTGTAACTTTACTTTACTTTACTTTTGTTTAAAAACTTGTTAGGATACTTTATTTATATATGATAATAACCAAAAATAGGTAAGATGGTGGTACGAACCTAGACCGACTTCTAGGCAGATAAGAGTCCTATCACCTAGTATAAATACTTAAAAAATCACTTGTATTGTGTATAAATGAGGGAAATTAGTATGTTCTCATAAACATTTATTCATCATTTTTACATTCACACAGATTCACACTGAATCTTTTCTTACTTACTCACCTGTTGGTGCACTGCAAACAATATCTAACCATAATGTACAGTACCTATAATTTATTATATTCTTATCAGCCCATAAGCCAATATAGGCCCATTCAGTTTCATGCTGTTTCTTTCTTTCTTCCCATGACGGAGGTTTTTATCTGAACCAGTGGAAAAAGTCAAAAACGACTTTCTGTACGAATTACATGTAATCTATATTGAATAAAAATGATTCTATTCTATTCGAAGCCATTCATCGCCTGATTTGCGCCTCGCTGATTGTGGCAGATTGGCAATGTAGTGCAAGATATACTGCACCAATTATCCTGCTTCCTCTGGGAAGAAAAACTACAAAGTGGGTTTAAGTAGATATAAATATAAAATGGTTATATCACCACCTGTCAGAGGCCACAAAATCTATCATTACATATTTTCCTTACTGAAACCTATCCTATGAAACAAACTAATTTCCTGGAATAAGACCACTAAATATAACTACTAACAATCGATTTATAAATACTTACATCTTGATGCAACTGAGACTTCCAAAGCTCATCTGCAGCATGACATTGTCTTTTAAAATTTGCAAATTCTCTAATAATTTTAATACATTTATTGCAAAGTATTTGTAATACATCTTCAGGGCTAACCTTAAGAAAATAAGAACAATGAAAATTAATGATAATCATACACACATAGAATATATTATATACATTATATTTTACAACTATATCCCAAATATTAGTTTTTTTTATTTTTATATTTTATTTTTATATATTTGGTAAACTACTGTTGGTTAAAGTTATAGAAATTTTTGCTTCTTTTTTAATAATATAATATGTGTAATATATGTTAACTTAATAAAGTAATAACTTAGTAAATATAGGAAAATTTACAAAGTCAATGGTCAATTATTAGACGAGTGGTATAACACTAGTGTAGACTATCTTCCACACATAAACTTTCTTTTAAAGTAAATGATGAATTACATGATCATAATTTTTATGGAATATCATAAGCTCAAGCTGTTATCTCAATTAACCCAACTAATCTGAATAAAACCTGGCTATGTTTTATAGGTTAAGAATAAATAATGAGTAATGCAAAGGAATATAAAAGAAGTTAATGCCATATAATCTGTAAAAGCTAGTTTCATTCAAGGTTTTAAGAAACATTCTCAAGTAGCAGCCTAGAAGTGTAGGGTGCGCGCTTACTAGATGAATTGACAAACTGGTATTAAGACGCAAAGTCGATGGAGGCGTGAAAGTGGCTGAGGACAGTGCTTTGTAGCATTCATCGGAGCAGACCTATGTTCAGGAATGTACTTGATGGTAGTGATGATGGTGATATTTTACAATGTAAATGAGACCTAGACCAGATGTTAAATACCTGGAAGATGACTGGCAATGGAGATCAGTATTAAAGATGGTAGATATTTGGTACTGAAATTGCAGATCTACCTGCATTTATGCCAATTCTTTCTACAATGGAAATGATCCATGTTCAGTGGTGGATTGTTATGGACCGATAAAGAAATGAGAGGTAAACAGTATAGTTTAACTTCATTGAATTGGGACTGCTGTTTTAAAAAAGCCTATCCAAGTAAATACTAAAAGTGTTAGATTTTTTAGTTTTTACCTTGAATAAAGATCATTTCAACTTTCTTTTACAGCTTGTTTACATAAATTGATTGTGAAAACTGTCAGCAAAAAGGTATTACAGTACTTTTAAGAATTAGATGAAGCTTTTCAATAAAAATAATTATTTAATGTCTAAAACGTAAAATCGGTGTATACATGGACTCCTGACTGTCAGGCTTTATCTTATAACTGAAAGGATTTAATCTCTCACTTTAAATGTTGTTATTGTTAGGAGAATATCTGGGCAGTGTTTCATTCATACATGTTTTTCTGTACAGTAGCTGTGTAAGAATATCCACTACAAATCCTCTGTCGCCTCTTAGGTGATGCAGTGCCAGATATCTCTTAGGACACCTACAGGATATGCCTGTGGGTGACCCAAGACGCGACAGAGCAAAACTAAAACAGAATGGCCAGCAGCATCTACTTCAGTCACAGGTTCTTTAGGACAGCAGAGAAAACAGCCAGTAATAATAATAAGCTTAGACGTTTTATGTCTTCTGTTAGGGGTACACTAGTCGCTCATTATTCCTTACAAACATAGTCCGGTGATTACTCCACTGTTAGATGATGTACGTTCAAAATAAAAACGATTTCAATTTGTCTCATTATCTAGCTCTGTATGGAAACAAAAAATAAAAAAAATATATATTTAAAAGTGCTAATTTTAACATATCTTTGGGCAAAAAAATACCATAAGAAGAATGAAAATTGCAAAACAGTTACCATACAGGGATAGATTAGGTGTTCAAAAGTGCAAATAATTTTATTTTGAACGGATATGTTCAATAGATTTTTCATGATATCCATATTCCCAAAGGTCTTTTTATAAAATTTCGCACGCTCGTTTTGTTGTAAATCATCATGCCTTTTGCTTTCACACATGATGTCAGCTAAGATAGCATGCATTTTAACCCCGCCCACCACTTAGTTGGTGCCATCGACTAGGGCCACCTTAAGATATTTTTTAATATTATCTTAATACTCTAAATGAGTAACCTATTTTTATTAATATATTTTTTATTAATATAAATTTGAGAATCTAAATGTATGTATCATTTAGATTCTCAAATTTAACCCGCTTCAAAAATATTTTAATTACAGTTTTTGTATTATGTAAGGTATTTTTCCGATAGCACATCAAAAAAACTGACTATATAACACCTTGAAGTCTTCCGATAGACAATGGTATATATATGCCTAATGCCAAATATCAGTAATTCAAGTTCACGGGATTAAGGCAGCGGGGAGGAGTGTCAAAGATGTTTTCAATAATCTGCAGCAGTGGTAGGTAACAGGCCTGAAGTAGAATCACACCTGTTGGTAAGTGGATGATGAGTTACAATCAAAATTCAGATGTGTTGCCATCCCTAAGGACCAACATGTAATTCTCATTACCAGTAAAAATTTTCAGGTTTCCAATTGCCCACACTTACCACACAAAATTAATTATAGTATTCTACGTGAGCGTGTTTCTTCCCCAGTTAAAGCTGACCAATTCGTTCTGCATCTATAATAAAGTTGCAGGATTGATCTACCACATCTAAAATAAACACGTAACTCTAATTATTTTTTCTTCTAGATTATAATACAATAATATTATTGTAAATGAAACCCGTACATAGCATTAAAAACATTAGCTTTCCATTATATTGTGAAGGCATTTATAGGTAATTGATATATAAATAAAAGACATGACTGCCTCATTGATTTAGCGCTGGTCATGTCAGTTTGCCATCCCATCGGACTGTCAGAGATATTTCTGCCATTCTTCTATGTTTGGTTTTTAAATTATTTCCTGGAAGGTATGAACCTTCTAACATTATTAAAACTGCCTAGTTGTACAACTGCTATTAGACATACAGCAAACTTTAACAAATTATATAAAAATAAAAGAAGTCTTTCTTTATGTAGACATAGCCAAAATCTTTGACACATTGTTCTAGAGAAAGCCCAAATTTAATTGGTCCAGTTAAGATAACGGGGAATGCGAGGTAATGATTTCATCAAATCTTTCATAGGCATGGCTGCAGTTGTTTCACTCAGTTGTCTAGCTTAAATGTTCAGACACAGCACCAAATCAATAGATTCTTAAAATCCTATTGATCAAATTTATTGCGGCCCAGATATTCTCTTATTTGAATTATATCTAATATCTAGTAATCATAGCACTAAAGTGTGGCTTTATCAAATTCTGATAGCAGCATTCTACCTAGCAAGCTAGCTTATTTAGAAATCACAATACCTATTGAAAATACCTAATTTAATTTTTTAATTTTTATTAATTAGCCATATTTAGAAGAAGAGAATAAGAATATGAATTAACTATTGGCTACTCTTAAGTTTAAGCCACATACACAGAACTTATAGATGTTTACAGCTGTGTTCAAAATACAAACCATTTACGTATTTTTATTTAATAAATAAATATCAAGCTAATTCTTGATATTGGTGTTCTGGTTTTATGATTTCAAATGCGTAAAAAATTAACAAAACTTACTGAGATTCCAATACAAAACTCGAAAAGTTGTGACAGATCATTATTTTGTTTAAATGATACACAATCATCGTACACAATTTCGAGACAAACACGACATGAGTGAATATTGATCTGTGTTTTAATTCCACGGAATTCGAACATATTAATTTTTCATCCCTCAAAATATGAACATAATCTCTTTACTATGATTGTTGATGTTGCTATGACATAGACAATGGCACTTTTTTTATAGTTAAATGTCTTTCCGGCTCTGGGTTCTAGCCCTTCTGAGCATATCATGCCTCAGAATCATAATTTTTATATACCTTTTCCTCAAAATATGCTGATGCGTCACATCATAGATAAATAAATATGTAGCAAGCTACGTCACATTGCGAAGCCCTTGGGAGATTTTGACGACAGCTTAATCCAGTTCAATCTAGTGGGCAGTTCATGAAGACAACCACCCAAGTTCATAAGGCGCCCAAGCGATCAAAATAACTTGAGGTTTATATCAACATCAAAACACTTGTTTCATCGTTTTCTCTAATAGTTCACACGCGCAGACACTTATTTCACAAAATCGCATCACTTTACGAATTAAAATCCACTTCAAACCATTATTCAAGCGACAAAACAGGAGCGACAATCCAGCTACGGCCAAGTTCCCGCCAAAACTCCAGCAAAGATATTATGTTGCTAAACCAAAGAGTATAGTGATCTAAACTCTAACAGACTACTAAGAGAATACTAAAGCTATTACACTATACTGAATCAGGGTCACGAAGCCCATAATATGGGTGGTGTATTATATATTATAGTGTATTTAGGGCGTCAAAGTGGATCCGATCTGCAGTGCCCTTACCGCCGTGCAGTGTAATAATAAGAGCAGATAGGGCATTTATTTTATGCGCGACTAGGGATACAAACGATACATCAATTCTTTCAAACATCGATAAATCGTTCATAAACATCTTTATTCATGAGCGATGTTTTATGAACGATGTTTTGGCTTGCCATGAAAAAGTCAGAGCCGCGAGGTTCTAAAATAGCCAACTATTCAAAGTTGTGAAATTCCGTACTTTTAAAATAGCGAACGATGATTATCACGAATTTTTTGTCGTCGAAAAATAAATATTTAAAAAAAGTAGAAAGTTAGATAATGTCTAAACTTTTAAAGTTAGAAGGTTTATTTGGCAGAAATAACTCGATCCAGAAAATTTTAAGTACGAATCAACAAACAAACAAATGGTCTTTCAGCCGAAAATAGAATAAACTCGAATTTCACAATTGCAACTGTCTTCAATCAGTAATTTTATTTTCGATGTAAAATTGTAGTTAATTTTCATTCGTTTTATAAGTAACATAAGTTTTCAAATATTGAACATGAATTGAAATTTTTTGATTAATAATTATACTGTTTGAGCTTTAACTTAATCAATAGCTTAAGAACAATCTTATAAGGTAACAGTTATTTTGTAACAGAAATTGTTTTATCGGCTTACGGTACTTTGTATTTTGCAATCACTTTTCAGAAATATTGATTTTGACTGATGAATGGTTATTCGCCTCTTTGTATTTCGGTATCGGTATACTGAAAGTGATCTATGGAACTACCACAGACTACTATGATGTTTACGCATGGAACTACCATAAATAAATAATGCATCACAATATAAGAAATAAAACTAAATCAGAAAAAATAAATAAAAATAAAATAAATTAAACTAATAGCACTCATGATTTTTCATTCAAATAACCAGTTCAGTTTTTTCTATTATGTCGATAAGATCAAAAAATATTATCTATGTTTCATCAGTATGTAATTCGTATCTAAATATAATTTCCAAAACAAACGATTTCCAAAAAAAAAAAATACCAAGGAAAGCTCGGTCATCCAGGTACTTAAATAATTTAAGTACCTGGTTTTTAAATGGTGATAAAATCATGGAAAAAAATCGATATATCGTTCTTAACAGTCTTCACAAAACAACATCAGTTCAGTTTTAAGATGTAGGTACATAAGCTATTTAATACTTTAAATATTCTTAAATAAATTAGCTATCATAAAATTCTAAGTAAAAATTATTTTGCTTGTAGCTAATACTTTTTGAAACATAAAGCGCGAGCATACAAATACGCGCATATAGAGCTAGAAATCTTAAAGTCACAAATAATATTTGCCTAGCACTTACACTCCATTTTTAAAACCGTATTTTGTTTTTCGATGTAAGGAACTAAACCTAATAGCTCGTCAAACTCCTCTTCTCCCATTCTCAGGTATTTAGAATTCATTTAGCTCCAGAACTCCGATAATCCGCATACTCGAGTGATTATTAAATATTCTTTCACCCATATCTTTCTTCTCCTTCTCTTTACATAGTGTACTACTTTACAGTGTAGTGTACATAGACTTAGAATATACTAGCGTATAGACGACCTGACAGTCCGAAAACACAATTCTGGGTCATATACTCTTCCTAATATATATTAATGAACTACCAACAATAACTCCTCATAAAACGATTCTTTTCGCTGATGATGCAACAATCATTCTTAAATGTACGAATAAAAATATTTTTGAATTTGACATCAATAGTACACTAAAACATATAATTGATTGGTTAAATTGTAGCAATATGACTGTAAATATAAACAAAAC